AACGAGCTTAAAAACAAAATAAAAATCACTGTAGTAATTTTGATAACGAAACTGACTCTTTGGAGTACTCCGTATTATGCGTCTATTTTCCAAAGCTTCCAAACGAAGCGAACGTCAAAGCGCCGAGGGCTAGAAGCAAGCCTATGGGAAGTGTCCGTGTGTCTGCGGCGGATCCCTGTGCCGGATCTCCCCCCAAGCTCCAGCACGGCCGCAGCCCGTGTAGGCAGCGGCACTCCCGCCGCCTGGGGCCGCCTCGGCGAGAAAAAACACTCGGGACTCGCTGAAACACATATTTTGTGCAAACAGACCCGGGAGCGGGCGGGCGACACCTCACGGCCGCGAAGCTCGGGTGGTCCAGCCCGGCGGGACTTGAGTTGCCGCAGGAGCACGGTGGATGCCCGCCTGGCTCTGCTGAAGGTGGGACCGACTCACCTGGGAGCCGTACCCGTTGCCGTAGCGGGGACTGGCGGGGAATCGTGCCCTCCGGTGGCCGCCGGCCGCACAGCCCGGCCGCCGCTCTGCCCCCTGCCCGGCCCCGCCGGGCGGCCCCGCAGCTCCAGCCCCGCCGACCGAGCCGAGCAGCACCGCGCCCACTCCCGCGGGGTCCAGGTAGCGAGACTGTATCGAGTGAGATGCTTGTCAGCTTTTCCACGTCCTTGGTTGTATGGGCTGCCGCGGTATCAGGAAGAAAAAAAAAAAAAAAAAAGGTGAAAGAAGGCAAAAAATGGGTCCTGCTCTCATACCCTTTATATATTCCTTCCGCCCGTTTGCTGTTGCTGCGCACAACTTTCTACCAGCGCACAGGGAGGGTTCTGAGCCTGTTTCCCGATGTGCTTTCAAAACAGAGCAAATTACAGCATAAACGTCAGTAAGGAAAGTTGCTAGGTGCTCTCTCTCGTCCCCTTTGAAGGGATATGGTCTCAACCAGGCTTTCACCTAGCGTGCATAGGAATTCCTGGCCGCAAAAATTGGTAGGGTAACTTCAAGTGATTTTAGTGGCCTTTGCAATAGGTCTTAAAGGTACAACTTCTGAGGAAACACTGGACTGAAGGCTTTGGCATCAAAAACACTCAGGCAGGCTGTCTCTCAATATACACATATGTAATACTTACATTACTCAATATTCCAAGAAATTGCCACCAGTGAGAGAGTTTTACCACAGTGAGCAGTCTTTGAGAGCTAAATTGCAACGTGTGTATTTGTATGCCACATGGGGAATACTGAACAGCTTTATTGCAATCCAGCTGTAATTTGTGTGTGTGCACAATATATAACACATTGATGAGCAACACTGTAGTTGTAACCACCAGATCTTGAGCACCCTAGTTTTCAAATGTCTCCACTGATTTATTAGCAGGCAAAAAAATCAAACCTTTAATTCGTTCTTAGAAATCAAAGAAAGAATCAAACTGTTGGCCTACTTCCCTCAAAATTATGATGTTCTGCCTGGCTAAGGCAGATCCTGCTTGTCCCAGCCTGTGAGTGCCTCAGTTTCTAATGGGTGCCTTCGCAAGGGCCAGTATATAGTTGGGGAGATTTCTTTTAGCTGATCATCACAGCCCAACCTATTCTTCATTTTGCTTTCCCAGGAGTTTGTAATTTATTTAGCTCCGTGTTCACACCCATGCCCATAATCTAGATGGTTGGTTTACCAGTGTTATACCTTACTGGACAGATGACAAAATGCTGGAGTGCTCTGTGTCTTGCCACTACTCCATGCAAGGGGGCACATTTTCCTGAGCTGAGGCCCAGGGAAGCTTGCAGTTTTGCTTGCTACCCTGTCACCAAACAGTGAAAAAGGGTTGAGATTCTGCCCAAGGAACCAGAGGAATACTCACCCAATCCATGTATATGCACAGTAGAGAATAGGACATGGAATCCCTTACCCCATGCTCAAGAGTGGTCTGCAGGACTACCTTAGTGGCTTAATGGAGGTTCAAAACAGATGACTTGACACTGCATAAACTAAACTACGATTATGGTTTTAATGTGGAACAAAAAGCCCCCACCTCAACCCCCATCAGAACTGTATATTTCAAAATAAATCAGAATTTAATTGATTTTCTTTAATATCTTCACAGACTTCATTCCCCTTCCCTCTGACACATATATATGTGTGCACAGTGCAAAAGATCAACAGTACATGCATGCACACACAAACACATTCTCACACATAAAAACAGCCAGTATATCTTTCTCACACAGACCCTCAGATATGACTGTCTGACACATCCACCCTCTTCCAGGCACGGTTCCACACACCCTAGCACTAGGCAGGTGTGCTGCCAGCCAGCAGGCCTGGGAGATCCAGGCAGGCTTCAACAGCAGCCCAGCAGCAGGTCCCCCAGGCCAAACCATTGCCACCACAGTTCATCTGGCCCCTGCACTCCTATGTGGGTCTTGGCAGTAACAGTATGGGCTAAGTTTCCTTTGTTCCTGACCCCATAGTTTGTGAGTCAAAGATGAAACAAAAGCCAAAATGAAAATGATGTGATTTTCTGTACAGTCATAGTTCATAGAGCAGTGTGCAGGTCCTAGGTAGTACCACATGAGTCCTGCTAACCACTGTTAGCTGGTTGTTTTTGTTGCAGTTTCCATGAAGAGTAGCTAACACTGAACCCAACCATCTACTACAGTCAACCCCTCTCCTCAGCTCAGTCCCTCCCTACATTTCTCCAAGCATTCTGCTTTTGCAAACCATGTAAGACTGCTTTTCCACCTGTCCTTGCCTCTCCCTCACACCCTGCTCTACACACCTTCCTCCTGCCCCATGACAAACAGGTGACGTCCTGCATCCCACTCAAAGTTCAGGTGACACAGACAAGTGGTGCCTCCTGCTGAATCACCTCAGGAGGTACTGCCTCTCTCTCCTTGCAGGCAGCATCCTGTTCCAAGCAAGGTGATAGTTATCCAGGTTTGGTTTTGCACTTCAACGTTTTTTTCCATAAGAAGAATGGGAGAGACAGGGGGAGGAAGTGAGGCAGGGAGAGAGGAAGGAAGGAAGGAAAGGAAGGAAAGAAGGAAAGGTAGGAAAGGAAGGAAGGAAAAGAAGGAGGAAAGGAAGGAAGGAAGGCCCCCAAGAGCCACCTACAGATGTTCACTACTACTGTTTCCAGCCTTTGGTCTGTAATGACACTGCTCAACACCCCAGAGGAGCACTGAGGCTTTGGGTAGAGACAAAATTATTGGTGAGAAGGAGGTGAAAGGAGAGCCAACTCTTCTTACCTTGGGGGCAGCAGCTGCAGCCAACACAAAGAAACCCCTGAAGCTCCCCGAACAAACCATGGTGTTGAGTAGAGAGGCCTGTGGTCGCAGCAGACACAGCAGGGACAAGCCGAAAGCCGGGGAAGCTGTGCTGGCTCGCTGTAGGTCTGTGTGGCGGCATGTCTTCCCTTGCCGGCTAAGTCGGTCGCTTTCTTCTCGGTCGCTTTCTTCTCTCCCGTCTTGTTTCCAGCTGCTTCCCAAAAGATAAGGCTTAGGGCAGACTGCTATGTACTCACACCGCGGGATGGAAGACCCAAGGAGGAGAGGTCGCCCAGGGGAGCAGCGAGCGGAGGAGCGTCGGGACAGCTCCGGCGCCGACGGGTGCCCGACGGGCGCTGCGGCGGGTACCGGGGCCATCGGCCGCGGTGGGCCGGCTGCCCCTCGACGGCACCGCGCCGAGGTCCTGGCCCGTGGCACCTCCCGGGACAGGGAGCCCCCAGGCAGGGGGGAGTGACAGCTCTTTTCCCCGGAAAAGATAACAGCGCTCTTCCAGAAGCCTCGACTTTTTTGTCCCAGACAAGGACATTTTTCACTCCTGCTATTCCGTTCTCCCAGTCCGCACTCACACCTCAAACAAGTCGGGGATCCACGGCGCTGCCGGGTCTGCCCGCTCTGCCCCACACCCGGTGCTGCCCGTCTAGGCAGTGGCTGCCAGGCCGGCAGGGCAGGCGTGCTGTCCTCGCGCAGGGAGCAGCGAAAGTGCTTCACCCCATTTACTGAGGGATGGTAATTTCTAGCTTTCCCTCCCAGGCGTTCCCCGTTTGAATCTGAGCTGTTGTTAAAAAGACACACCACCTGCTCTGTGCTGCCAGCGAGCGGGGAAGGAGGCACAAAGACGGGGGTTGGGGAGAAATTACTTTGGCTCTAAACATAAAAGAGAAATTAAAATAAATAAACTCCTTTCCCAGGAAGTGACTCGGACTTTGGCGCCTTGAGGGAGGATGAACTGAAGTGAGTGGTCAGTAGACACGGAGTGTGGGCAGAGAGGGTTTGCACACCCTTCCATCTCCCTGTGTGCCAGGTTGGGCACGCAGAACCTCCCGGGTTTCTCTTAAGACGAGCTCAAGGACTGATGCTTATGTATGTACGAAGCCAGTGCTTAATTTTCCCGCTGCTTCCACCTCTGAATATGGCTTTCTCCAAGCGCAGTCCTCCAGCCTAAAAAGACGAGGCTGTGCCTCCACCTCTCCCCAGACCAGAGATGTACGACTCTCTCGGCAAGTCAGACCCCGGGGGCGCTCGGTGATGGGAGCGCGGGGTGTGCTAGAGCGGGACAAAATTAGGATGTGCCTGGATGCTGTCCCGTGGGTAATTTCCCTTTCCTCTTTTTCGCTGCAAGCCGTGTCCGCTGCGGCGAGGAAAGCCCGAGAGATGTGGGCTTCCCCGGCTGCTACGGGGTCGTCGCCCACCCAGTGCAGGCACTAAGCGGCCCCGCTGTCCCCTCCGCAGCAGAGCACGGGGTGCCGGGCACCCCCATAACGGCCCGGCCCCTCAGCAGCACTCCAAGGCCGAGTGCGAACCGAAGGAGCCTGAGGGAGAAACCGCGGAGAGGGAAACCGAGAAAGACGTTGGTGTAAGGATGTATGTGTGTGTGGGGGGGAGGCCAGATCACTCGTGAATGGCTTGAAAAAAATAATTGGGGGAGGGCGTGGAGGGGGGGAAGCGGAAACTTTCCTATAAAACTCAGCAAAAGTCCCTCCTCTCCACGTCAGGCCAATGACACTGCTGCCCCCAAACTTTCCGCCAGCAGGAGCTATAAGAACCTCCAAGTCTTCAACTTTCTCCCAATCCCAGACACTTCGAAGGGGCTCCAAGGAGGGATCGGGAGGGATTTTTTTTTTGGTTGGCGTTTTCATATTTTTTCCTCTTGGATCCTGATGCCATCCCCCCTCCCCCCAAAGTGAGGTCCTCCCTCCCTCCCTTCCTCCTCCTCCTCCTTCTTCTCGCAGGCCAGCGAAGCAGCCGATCAAGGGGGAGCTGGCGGGTTAGGTGCCCCCCTCTTCTCCCTGCCCTCCCCCCCCTCCCGGCCCGCTTCTCGCGTCTCCCCCCAGAGATGATGCAGCAGGACGAGTCAAACTCTCCAGTCTCCCCCGCCGACGACAGCTTGAGCAACAGCGAAGAGGAGCCGGACCGGCAGCAGCTGCCCAACAACAAGAGAGGGGGGCGCAAGCGCCGCTCCAGCCGCCGCAGCGCCGGCGGCGCCGTCGGGGCCGCGGACGAGCCCTGCAGCCCGGCCCAAGGCAAGCGGGGCAAGAAGTGCGGGGCGGGCGGGGGCGGCGGGGGCGGCGGCAGCAGCAGCGGCGGCGGCAGCCCCCAGTCCTACGAGGAGCTGCAGACCCAGAGGGTCATGGCCAACGTGCGGGAGCGGCAGCGCACGCAGTCGCTGAACGAAGCCTTCGCCGCACTGCGGAAGATCATCCCCACTCTGCCCTCGGACAAGCTGAGCAAGATTCAGACCCTCAAGCTGGCGGCCAGGTACATCGACTTCCTCTACCAGGTCTTACAGAGCGACGAGCTGGACTCCAAGATGGCAAGCTGCAGCTATGTGGCCCACGAGCGGCTCAGCTACGCCTTCTCGGTGTGGAGAATGGAGGGCGCCTGGTCCATGTCCGCATCCCACTAGCAGGCGGTGTCCCCCACCCGCATCCTCCCGGCAGGAGCCCTAGGTAAGGCAGGGACCCCGAAACCGGCGGGGAGAAAGGGGGGAAGGCGAGAGGCCGCCGGCTGCGCCGTGGGCCGGGCACGCGTGGCCGAGGGGCGACAAGGCCCCCACCCCGTCCGGAGAGGCCTGGCTTCCAGGACCAGCCGGAGAGCGGGGCGGCTGGAGGTGCCTCTGGAGGTGCTTCCCCCAGCCCGGCGGGTCCCTCCTCCTGCGCGGCCCGAGGTGCGCCCCTGGCCCCGCGGGGCCCACGCGTGGCGGGCGCTGCCGGCGGCAGGCGGGGTGGGCTGCGGGCGGGAGGCGGCGGCGGTGCGGGTGTGCCCCAGCCAGATGGGGCCGGCCGGAGATCACTTTTTCACCAAACGCTGCGGAGCCAGCAGAGCTGCTGGGATGGCTCCTGCTGCTGCCGCTGCTGCTGCTGCTCGTATTTTGAAGTGAATCCATGTCCGTCAGTTGTGCTGCCCGATGAACGTTTCCTATCGCCCCAGCAGTCCCTTCCCTCGGCTCTGACACCGCGGGCTGCCGGGCTGGGGTGTCACACGGTCACCGCACGGCGGGTTCTTCCTTCTTCATTCCTGCCCGATACGTGTATTTCCAGAGACAGAGAGGTGTAGATAGATGTGTGTGTATCTTTCATTTAAGTAACGAGTTTTCCGCCCTCTCTGGGTTTTTGCAGATGACATTGTTCCCACAGAAGGAGAAAATGGACAATCTAGAGACTCTGAAGTTGGATACGATTTTTTTTTTGGTCTTGTTTAACAAAAAATGTACCAAGGATTTCTTGGAAATTAGAAGAGCAATATGCAAATTCTAAGCAGGGCGTGGGGAGCACTTAAGGAAAGAGAAAGAGACAAGGGCTTTGGACAGTGACTACCCTTTGGGCGTCGGTACAGTACACACATCTCTGCATTCTGATAGAAGTCTGAATCGTTCGATTATTTTTTTTTTTAATTTTTGACGAAGAATGTTGGAATTGAACTTTTTTTATTTTATTTGCCCTTTTTTTTGCATGCATTCCCAAGAGGTCGTGCCTATGAGCCACTGGTTAAAGGAAATACATTATTGTGGACTTTCTTCATTCTTGAATGAAACCAACCAGACAACCAAAAATATCCCTGTAGAGATGAAAACTTTTTTTTTTTTTTTAGGGGGGAATAAGCTGGGCTCAAGCTGTTATACACCCGGTTCCTAACTTTTTTATTATTATTATTTTTCCTCTGAGAAAAAATAAACATTTTATTTATTTATTGATGACCCATGTTAAAATGCAAATAGATCCGGTGTCTAAATGCATTCCTATTTTTATGATTGTTTTGTAAATATCATTGTATATTATTTTTCTGCAATAAATAAATATGATTGAAATTTTAATAACCTTAAAGTTTTGTCTATCTGAGAACTTAGGGTTAGAATTTGAGATGCATACCTGCTTGTTGAGCTGTAAAGACACCCAAGAGAGAGGGATCACTAGTATAAACAAATCAGAAGAAAAAAGCAAATAAACTAGCTACTGACAGACACAGGTACGTTATTTATTGAGACAGCTTTATTGTTCTGCACTGAAGCTCATTGAATCTGCAGAGGAAAGGGTTGTCTCTTCTCTCTTTCTCTCCCTCTCCCATTTAGTCTTAATACCAAGCATAGCGGAGTTGTGCGGGGAGTGGAGTTTTCGCTGCAGAGCTCTGGCACTTGCTGCTGTGTTTTGCCTCCAGATGTGAGGCAGGAGCAGATCCCATTCCTCAGCCCCTGGTGTAGATATTTTTGCTGATATCCCTGAGGAAGAGGTATCGGTTTTAAACAGAGATTCTTCCATTCACAGGCAAAGCAAGAGAAAGTGAGATTGAAACAGGGAAGTGTCTAGCGAGTGGGGTTTTCCGGTGGAAGTGATGTTTGACTGGTCTGCTCTCCAGGGTTTAATATAATATATATACTAGCGATCACATTTTCATTGTGCGAAGCACGGAGGATATGCTAATCCGCCCTCTTCTCCTTTTCTAAGTGTAGGGGGCATGCTGCCCCTCTTTCTTCTCACCATACCCTCCACAAGGTCCCAGTATGCGGCGAGACCTCAGTTGCAAGAGAGAGGGAATCTCCAGATCTAAGGGCTTGGAAAGAAGGTGAAAGGGAAGTTGTTAAAAAAAAAAAAAAGCCCAAACAACAAAACAACCCAAACCAAAACTCAACCTCTATAACCGGACAGCTGATTCCACCTCTGCTGTCACTTGCTCATTTCCCAGCCCTTGGCAGCCTGGTGGTGCGCGTGGAGTGGCACCTCCTGCCCTTCCGTGGCAGCGAAGGATGCGTGGGTGCGCTGAGAGCCGAGCAGTGTCCTCAGCGGAGAGAGGGACCCTGCCACCGGGGTTTGGCCAGTATCTAGGATAAATAGGATGGGGTGTTTTCTCAAAGCAGAACCTGTTTGCATAGCCCGTGTTGAGTTGACTTCATTGTCTGGCTGGTTTTGTTTCCGTATCCACGCATTGCCGTCTATTGCTGACATAATAGTATTATGAATTTAATATCGCGCATATTTTAGGTCAGTGCGCAATGTTTACAGTAGAGAGCCTGCAGAGCTTTTTTGCGCTGCCGGATTAGCAAGGACTTGAAAATTACATGGGGGCCCTGGTGGTCGCAGCCCTGCGTGATAGAGAGGAGGGAGAGCTGCTGCGATTTCGCGGGGGGCCACTGCTTTTCCCCGGCACCCTGGCACCCGCAGGTCCTCGCTCAGCGACTCCAAACACCCGCTCCGATGCGCCCGACTGACGAGGAGGAGGTAATGTCTCGGCTGCAGAGAAAGCGAGAGGCATGGGGACCCGGCTCGGCTTTGGTAGTGGGGCTGGAGGGATTTGAGAGGTTGTGGGAGGTTTCAGTTGTTCCTTTTGGGGGAGAAGTCACACTGGGGAAAGCGGGGAGGGGGGGGAACTCCTCACTTTATGGAAGAAAACATGTTCGGGGAAAAAAAACAAACCAACGAAAAACCAAAAACGAGATGAACTGCTCGGGTTTGAGGGGAAGGTGCGTTTCATGGAAGGGGATTCCTGCGAAATATGAATGAGGAATCAAATGCACTTCAAAAACCACGAACCCAACTGCTCTCCCTTAAAAATCCGGAGCAACCCCACTTGATGGAGTTAAGCCTGATTGACCCTGTTGCAACCAGCAAGAGGCCCCTGACCCAGACGGTGCGAAACGTTTGCAGCAAGCTGAACACCCGAGAGAAAAAAATCCCCAATTCCTGTCCGTGGGGCTCATGCCACTGGCAGGTCTCCCAGCCTCCACCCCTGTGTCCCTCCGGCCGAGACCCTGCCGGTGCCGCAGCACTCCCGGGCACCAGGCAGTCAGCCGGTGCGCTTTCCCGGCTACCAAGTGCTAGCCTTGCTTAATTAAAAAAAAAAAAATCATTAAAAGGAGATAAATCCTTTTTAAAAATACAAGCGTACCCTTTCCTGGACTGGAACTGGGGACTGCAGAGGCCTGGTGCTCCTAGTGCTAAAGCCAAAAGCGATTAAGTCAGCGTCAGGCTTACTGAAGGAAAAAAGAAATAATGTGTATATTAATTTGCCTTCTGGGAATTTTTAACACTCTTGCAATCGGAAAATTAACTCTGCCTTTGGAAATCCTGATTGATTTCACTTCTTTCTCCGAGCCATCAGTCTGTCCCGTTTATTCTAAGAATCAGAAGCGGTCCGGGGCCCGCGCAGCAGCCCCGTCGCAGCGCCGCGTCCACGGCGGATCTGGCGGGGCTCGGAGCGGCGGTGCCGGCGCTGCGCCTCCTGCGGGGCGGCGGGCGGGGGGCGCCGGCCCCGGGCCCTCGCGCATTCCTGGGTTTGGCAGGGGCCGCCCCGCTGCTTTATCCAAGCCGGTATCGGATTCCGCTCCGGCGTATGATTTCACTTGAAGTCCTGCCCAGGAGCCCTTCAAAGTGCGCGCTTGTCCCGCTCCCATGATGTCAGGCGGTTTTCCCTGCATCTGTAATTTTAAGGAAAACAAACAAACGGGCGGTGGGGATGTAAGGGGAAACGGAGGGAGCGGGGAGTGGCACAAAAGTGATGTAAAAGAGCAGGAGGAGAAGGGCTCACCTGCGGCACTGGCAGCTCGGGCACCTGCCGCCCGGGTGGAGCCACTGCGGGACTCTGCGTCTCCGGGAGCCTTTCCCGGGAATGGGCTCGACTGCTGGCGCGGGTGCTCCCACAGCCGCGCTCGGGGGCTGCTTCCACTCCATTCACACGCTGCTCCCTTCACCTGTCCCTCTCCGGCAGGCAGGGGACCCACTGGGAGAGCGGGAGCGCTCCCACCGTAAATTAGCATCTTTAGGAAGAGGGTGGTGGTGGTGGTGACGGCAAGTCCAGTCTACTCCGTAGAGGGATCCGGGAGGCTAAAATGAAAAAAAAGAGGGACACACATCCGCATCCCACTGAGACTTATTTTATTTACTGCACACATAACCTGCCCGCAGTAAACATGGTACAGGATGTATTTTACATTAACTTCTGCACCAGCTTCTTTCGACTTCAGTCCACTTAATGTTCTTGGCAAATCAAAGCACGTGTCCTTTGAAGAAGGTGTGTAATTGGAGTTTAAGGCATGTATGGAATTCCCAGATGTCTATAAAGTAAGAAGGAGCATTTGGCAGGTCACTTGAAGGTGGAGCAGGTTAAAATCACTTGCACAAAAGTCCCCCTTTTCTTTTTTAAAAGAAAACAAGCCGGCCATTTATAAGAACCAAGTGATCGAGATTGCGGAAGGCTTGGAAGGGTGTTACAGAGCAAGAACAATAAAGCTCCGGAAACATAATGATGATGGTAACGCTCGTCTAAATATCCGAAATAAAACGCAAAACAAAACTAAAATACTAGGATCGGGGAATGATTGTCCGTTCTCTCAGTAATTCCCTGTCTCTCCCGCCCTCTCAGGAACACTTACACTCCTCTTATTTAGGTAGTCGTCTCATCTTGGGTAGCAGACACTTCCCCACCCTTTTCATAAAGAGATGATATCAAATTTACAGAAGCTTTACAGAAAACCTCTTTTTCACCGTATGGACACATGCAAAAGAGGACGTGTTTCACTGCAAAATAATCCAGATGAACCATGCTAACATCAAGACGGCTACAATGATTAACACCAGCAATTAATAATAGCAGAAAAAATAACAAATAGATTTGTGAGAATTAGGTGCTGATCATTTGGTTTTCGGAGCAAAATATTAGCCCGAGCAGGACTGCGAGTTCGCTTGGAGGGGGGACCGCAGACCCTGTTGGCTGGGATGCAGAAATCCCGCCGCAAAATCGTGCGGTGGTGAAGGGCACACATTCTGTCCTCCTAATGTGGGGAAAACTGGAGATGGGAGGGGGCGAGAGGGGGAATGATGCTCTTGGGAAGGGTCGGGGTCGCCCCTGAAAGTTTAGGGTTGCTTTGTTCTGTTCGGGACGAGGCAGAGTCATTAAACAAGCAGTCAAGAAAGGAGCACCAGATACGGCTGCAGCCGTGGGGGAAAGGACAGCTTCAGCAGGGAAGGGATTTTGACATGTGAAAAGTTAAGCAGGTACCTGAAGGAGGTTTATTTTGACCAGATGTTAGAGTTTTTATGAAAATGTCACGTGAAGTGAACAGATGTGCAACTTGCAAATGGAGCCCCGCCTTGTAAACACTGGGAAGAGAAAGGTCCACAGAAATTCAAGCGCAGATCATTTTTGCTTTTTTCTATATGCGTATTTGCACACAGATATGAACTACGTAGGTTCTACTTAAATTGCTTTATTTGCTTGTTTGTAAAAAAAGCAGCCGTTCAAACTTATTATCCTCTTCCAGTCAACCTAGTTAAATTTCCTTCCTTCCTTCCTTCCTTCCTTCCTTCCTTCCTTCTTTCTTCTTTTCCATTTTCTTACTTTCTTTTTATCTTTCTTTCTCCCTCTCCCCCTCCGCCTCTTTATTTTTCTTTTTCTTTCTTTCTTTCTTTCTTTCTTTCTTTCTTTCTTTCTTTCTTT